CTTCATCAGGTCACTATGAGCTTTTCCAAGTCACTTTCCCATGCTGTGCCTCAGTTTCCCTAGGTGGATAATGACACTGCTGTAATGCATGCTATGAGGCCTGATATGGGGCATTCAGTCCTGGGCTTCTGACAGCACTTCAGCAGCGGAGGGTCTGGGAAGAGAGCAAAGGAGCCTGGGAGAAGAAAGTTCTGGGATTATGGGAATGCAGGTCTGTGGAGGGCAGGGGAAGAGGGGGAAGGAGAGGATTCTGTGATTGAGAGCACAGGGCCGTTAGGGAAGGGAGCCATGAGCCTCTGCGTCAGTGGGCAGGCCAGGCTTTCACTCTTGTCTCCCCTTGCAGAGGACCTGTAGGCTCACGACTTTCTGGCCCCAGCTTGCTGCTGGAGGAAATACTGGCCAACAGCTCTGTCCAGGCGGCCCAGCAGGAGAGACCTGCCTCACCACAGACCAGCCACATGGAAGAGGAGCGGGGCCTGAGCAACACTGCCAATGACCAGGCATTGGAGGCTGCTGGGCCCCCCCAGCCTGATGATGCTGATGGGAGCTGCCTACCAAAGCAAGTGAAGAGGCTGAGCCAGCCAGAGTGCAGGGGGAGCCCAACCGAGAGGCGTCGGCCTTCCCAGGGTCTGCTCCCAGCACAGGACTTCTCCTTTCTGGAGGTAAGCATGACACAGGCTTTCCAGCAGAAGCTTCTTCCAAGCCCACCCGTGGGAGGGGAGCTTTGAACAGGTCCTGGATGGCTGTATCCCACCACCATCCCCCTGGCATCCCCTCTGGCTGGCCCTGGGAGCAAAGCTTGAAGCTTTTGCTACCCCCAGGGAGTGGAGGCCTGCATTGTGTGTTAAATGGCCCTTCCAAAGGGAGGGGACCCTCTGCTGATGGGGATACTGTGTGGTGGTCAGAGGAAGGGGGCTGTGAGGAGGACTTCTCGGGGTCCTTACCTTACCTCCCTGGCCACCTTGCAAGTAGAGCTTTCAGGTCCTGGGCCCCATTCTCCCAGCATTGGGTGACTCTGTCTGGGTTGGGATCCCCTTGTGCTGCCAGGATCTCACAGATGCCACCCTGAGACCTGCATTGTATTGTGAGATCTGAGATACCCTGGACTGAGTCCTGATGCAGCATGGGGAACTTCACTGGCTTATGATTGTGTCTTGGGGCAGGAATGGAGCAGGAGGCGGCCCTGGGGCTGTGGACAATGGGCTGAGTCAGTGTGGTGTTATCTTTGTGTGGGGTGTCCTCCTTATGGCTCTCACTGACCTATGTCTGTCCTTTGTGGGGTGTGTACAGGATGCAGAAGTTCTCGACAGCACTGTGTCCCGAAGCAAAGCCAACCTGGGTCGCAAGCGAGGGCACCGGGCGCCCGCCATCCGCCCTGGGGCTACGCTGGGGCTGTCAGAGATGGAGGGGGACAGCTGGATGTTCCAGGACTCCACAGGTGGGATTAACAGCAGGGATAGGTTGCATCTTGGGCCTGGCTGGTGTGGCTGTGATATGATACTGATACAGCTTCGTGTCTGCTGGCGGGACATGGTACTGGTGCAGTGTTGGCAGGGCAGCAGGATGCATTCCTTTGTGGGAGAGGATGTTGGGGTAGCAGTGGTATGTGTCCCTGTATGGCATGATGTTGATATGTGATCATGTGTGGCATCATGGTGTTGTCTCATTGTCATCTCTGTGTGTAGGGGGAGCGTGTGGTGTGGTGCCAGTGCAGGTAGCCCTGTGAGGACTGTGTCTCTTGAGGTGGCATTGACACTGTGTGCCTGATGTGCTAGTAGGGCAGGGCATCTGGTGTGCACTGGTCATGTTTTCTGCTATGCTGGTGGTGTTACCTTGGCATGCTTTCTTGCACAATGGAAGCATGAGTGCAGCAGTGGCCTTCGTTTCAACATGGCAGCAACATTGGTTTGGCATTGACCCATTCCAGCGTGCTGGTATTGATGTGGCATTGGTGCGTGTATCTGCTTGACAGTATGGCAATGATGTGTGTGTGGTGGTGATGGCGTGATGTTGGTGTTAATGTAGCATTGGTGTTTGTTCCAATGTGGTGTCGGTGAGGATGTGGAATTAGTATGTGTTCCTTCTTGGTAGTCCTAATCTGTCACTGGCTTGTTGCTGTTGGGGTGGCATATACTCGCGTAGCCTGATGCTGTCCTCTCTACTTTCCCGTCAGAGCCTAGAACAACATGTATGGCCTCCTCAGATGAGGAGGCAGCAGAGGAGCCAAAGAGCAGGCGCGCACGGCCATCACCAGCCTCTAAGGGGGCGAAGGTGTCTCTGTTCCCAGGCCTGAATCCATCGGCCATCAAGGTAGCACCAGCTGCGGTCCCTGGTGCTGGGCGGGGTGTGGGAGCCCTCTGACTACGTGGTACAGGGCAAGCTTGTCTCTGCGTGGGTGATAGGGGCCTGTAAGGGGATGTCAGATTAGCTGAATGTGGAGTGCTGGGTGGGGAGGAGTGGGAGCATATTTAATGCTCCCACTCCTGGTGGGAATAGGATAGGCTTCAATGTGGATAAGTGCAGGGTGCTGCACCTGGGGAGAGAGAATCCACAGCATACATACAAGCTGGGGAGCTCCACCCTTGTGAGCACAGAGGTGGAAAAGGATCTTGGAGTCATTATTGACCAAGATGAACATGAGCCGCCAATGCCAGACCACAGCCAGCAAAGCCAACCGCACCTTGTTGTGCATCCAAAGATGCATCTCAAGCCGGTCCAGAGAGGTGATACTCCCCCTGTATGCGACATTGGTCCGGCCTCAACTGGAGTACTGCGTCCAGTTCTGGGCATCGCACTTTAAGAAGGATGTGGCCCGACTTGAGAGGGTTCAGAGGAGGGCCACCCGCTTGGTTGGAGGGCAACAGGGCAGGCCCTATGAGGAGAGGCTGAGGGACCTGAACCTGTTCAGCCTCAGCAAACGGAGGCTGAGGGGAGATTCGGTGGCTGCCTACAAACTCGTTAGGGGAGATCAGCAGCAAGTAGGAAGGGTCCTATTCCCCCCAATAGCACCTGGGGTGACAAGGAACAATGGCCAGAAGCTGCTGGAGAATAGGTTCAGGTTAGAGATTAGGAGGCACTATTTCACTGTTAGGGTGGCTAGGATCTGCAACCAACTTCCTAGGGAAGTGGTCCTTGCTCCTACCTTGGGTAAATTCAAAAAGAGGTTGGATGAACACCTGTCTGGGGTCGTGTGATCCCAGCATGTGCTTTGGCCAGTGGTGGGGGGGTCAAACTAGATGATGTATTTAGATGATGACCCCTAACTACTATGAAACTATAATGTAGATGATCTTGAAGAAAAAGGGAGTGTTGGTAAGAGTCTTAGGTATGGGAGGGGAGGTCTTGGGTGTGGGGAGTAGGGAGGGGACTGGCACAGTGGGTCCTGGGATGTGGAGGTTGCTGGAGTAGATCATGGTTGGGAAAGCTGGGAGTTCAGGGACTGGTGTTGAGGGAATCCTGGGCTGGTGCGGGTATGCTGGGGAGGCCGGGGTATGAGAAAGGAGGTCTCAAGAGGGGCTGGCACAGAGGTATTGTGGGGTGGGGGTGCAGAAAGGGAGGCCTACGTGTAAGTGAGGCTGGAATGGGGCAGGGGAAAACTGGTGTGAAGGGGCTGATATGGAGGAGGTTGCTGGGGAAGTCTTGCAGGCAGGTGGGAGGGCTCAGAAAAGGCTGGGGGTGGGGTTTGTCCTGGGTAACTGGTAGGTCTGAGGGTGATGTGCAGTTGACGTAGGGGTGAGGAGAGGTGTTGTACAGAAAGCCAGGATGTCCATGTATCTGTCTGACTTCATTCTTTGTCCCTTCCTCTCCTGCCTACACAGGCCAAACTGAGGGGCCGGAACCGCTTTGCCGAGGAGGGGGCCCAGCCAGGGGAGGGCAAGCCAGCTTCATCCAAGGAGCTCCACATGCAGCGCTCCAAGTCCTGCAAGGTCCCTGGCCTGGCTGGGAAGCCCCCTGCACTACCCCCCAAGCCAGAGAAATCCTCAGGGTGTGTGTGGGAGTGTGTGGGGAGGAGGCAGTCATGAAGGGCCAGGTTGGGGTGTGCGGGTGGGGAGGGGGTGTTTTTTGTGAGGGGAGAAGGGTTGTGGTGTCTGTTGGGGAGGTCCTGTAAGGCAGAGGTTCTCAACCTTTTGCACCTTGCATCCCACCTATGTAAGGTCAAAAAATCCTGGTCCCACTGGTTGATGAGCAGGGCGGGGTGTCCCCCAGAGGCCAGTCGAAGGTAGGGGAGGTCCCCCAACAGCTGATCGAAGCACGCAAAAGTGAAACTGGAAGTTCTGCCTTGAGACTCCCAGTTTCACCACTGGGACCTGAGTCCCACGTAGAGGACCTTTGTGTCCTGCCAGTGAGACACGTCCCACCGGTTGAGAAACCCTGCTGTAAGGGAGAAGTGGGGAGGGAAGTTCCTGTGAGATGTCCAGAAGCTGGAGTGTGCGTTTTGGGGGGGGGGGTGGTATGTGGGTGGGAGATTACGCTGAAGGGGGTTGAGCTGTACATGGGGGAAGGGGTTTTATGGTGGGGATGGGTTGGGAGGCATGCATGTGTTCGGGGGGCTTCCATGAAGGACCTGGGTTTGGGGGGAAGTTCCTGTTGGGAGGATGTTTGTATACCTGGAATGATGGCAAGTGTCTGTGTAGACCTGGGGTGTTGGCGTATGTTCACACCTGCAGGTGTCGGTGAGTATTTGTAGGCCTAAGGGCGTTGCTGGGTATGTGCTTGGCTGGGGGTGTTGAGGAGTCATAGATTCATAGATACTAGGGTTGGAAAGGGAACTCAACAGATCACAGAGTCTAACCCCCTGCCTAGGCAGGAAAGAGCAGATGACCCCAACTGGATGCCTATACAGCCTTCTCTTAAAGACCCCCAGGGTAGGGGAGAGCACCACCTCCCTTGGAAGGCCATTCCAAATTCTGGCCACCCTTACTGTGAAGAAGTTCTTCCTGATGTCCAGCCTAAATCTACTCTCCATCAGTTTGTGACCATTGTTCCTTGTTACCCCAAGAGGTGCCTTGGTGGTCAGAGCATCTCTGATTCCTTCCCCCCCACCCCAATGAATTTGTAGGCAGCCACAAGATCACCTCTCAGCCTTCTCTTGTGGAGGCTGAAGAGATTCAGTTCCCGTAGTCTCTCCTCATAGGGCTTAGCCTGCAAAACCTTAACCATACGAGTGGCCCTGCTCTGGACCCTCTCGAGGTTATCCACATCCTTCTTAAAGTATGGTGCCCAAAACTGGACGCAGTACTCCAACTGCAGTCAGACCAGTGCTGCATAGAGGGGAAATAATGCCTCCTTGGATCTATTTGTTATGCATCTGCTAATGTGTGATAAAGTGCAGTTAGCTCTGTTGATGATTTTGTTACACTGATTTCATCATATTCATCTTGGAGTTGTCAGGATGTATGCATGTCTGTCCGTCTGAGCAGCTGTAATTTCAGGGGCACCTCCTTGTGGCTCAGAGTGGTCCTGCAGATCCCTGCCCTCTCTCCTCTTCTCTGTCTTTGCAAGGCCTTGAACCCAGGCTGGAACACTGTCAGTGAAATCCCCTGGAGAGGGCCACATTTACTGGGTCTCTTTCCCCAGCACAACTCTGGCCCCCTCCAGCCAGAGCCCCCTGCCCTCCTGCGTGGTACTTCAGGCTGTTTCCTTCTCCTTGAGATCATGGGTGCTGGACAAGTGGGCCTCTTTCCTGACTCAGGAGTCAAGGTGGCCAAACACTAAGGGTTTGGTGTGCTGGCAATTTCATTCCCTTGAAATCTGGTTTCTGCCTGAATCAGGCCTGCACCCAAATTTGCCAAACTGGCAGATCCTCAGGCCCCTGCAGCTGCTCATGAAATGGATGCTCTCATCTGTTTTCCTGTTCGCTGCAGGAGGAAACTGGCCAAAAGCCTTAATTTCATGGAGCAGCTGTGGAGGGGGCAGCAGGGGTGGGCTCCCAAGTGCCCCACCTCTTCCCCTGGACTCGTTGAAGACCCTGAGGTGTTTTGATTGAAGTGGGGTTTTTTTGTTTTTTTTTGTTTTGCTGGACAAATCTGTCCCCACCAGCATGGCTCTGGAGTCCTAATCCCTCCTTCTCCTCTGGGCATCATTGCCTCAGGCCAGCTGCAGCCTTATCCCAGCTCTTCCCAGCTGACCCCTCTGCAGCTCAGTCATCTCCTGGGTGGGCTGGGCGAGGTCAGCAGCACTTCCCTTGCAACAGAAGGAGGAGGAGGCAGACAGTATCCAGCCCTCTTTCCCAGGGCCTGGCCTGCTTGGCAGGGAGCCTTGCTTCACTGTACATGGTTCCTGGTCCTGAGCCCTTAAACAGACAGTGGCCAGGCTCTGCTGCTCTTTTGGATTGCTTCCTTCCTCTGCCCCCAGGACCAGCCCCTCATCTTCCCTCTCTGGAGCTCCAGAAACCCTAGCCCCTCTTCTTAACATACTCCGTTAGTCACAGTTGGGAGGTGCTGGGGTGTCAGTGGGTATGTGTGAACTTGGAGTATTGGTGAGGATGTTGGTGTGTAGACTTGGGAGGTATCACATGGTGGGGTTGATGAAGACATTGGGGGTGTATATAGATCTGGGTGGAGTCAGTGACTGAGAGTGTGTGTGGACTTGGGAGGTAGCCTTGAATGTGTATATCTTGGAGGTGTGGGGGTGTGTGTAGATTTGGGGCGTTAGAGAAGGCATTGGCTGGGGGGTGGGAATCCAGGATATGTCAGAGGGTGTGAGCAAACCTTTGGCCATTGGGTCATGGGCAGTATCAGCGAAAATATATAATAAAGGTGTTGGGGTGTAAATGTGTGAGAAGGATTGAGGCATGTTTGTTGATGTGGGCGCACTTGGGGTTGTTGGGGTATGTGTGATTTGGCAGGTGTCAGTGAGGGTGTACGACGGGGGTAGGCAGTATGTCCACCCACCGAGGGGTGGGCAGGCTGGAGGACACTTAGGGAGTTTTGCTGAGTTGTTGCAGGCTGGGTCAGCCCCCCCCCCACCCCCCCCAAACAGCTCACCTAAACTCCCTAAGTGTTTCTCCAGCCCAAATAATTGCCCACCCCAGATCTAAGGGCAGAGAGGTGAGTGGACAAAGGTTAGGGGAACATAACCTTTGTTCCCCTCTCCCCAAGTCCGTGGCATGCAGCCAACCTGGGCTGGTGCTGTACTGTGTTCCCATGTGCTGCCTTGGGCCACGTGGGTACAGCTGGAGCAGCTTCTGCCTAACCCAGCCGCGTGCTGGGGATGCAGAGAAGTGGGGAACACAACAGGGCACTGGGCTGGCTGCGTCTGGATAACTCTTGGCTCCCAGACCCCTTCCCCCTACACCACCTGCCCCACCCTGAGTTGCCAGCATGCAGCCAGGCCAGCCAGTTCCACATTGTGTTCCTGGGCACTACTATCAGCTGTGTAGGTGCAGCTGGAGCAGCTGGCATGGCTCCTGCCTAACTTGGCTGCATGCTGGAGATTTGGGGTTGAGCAGGAGCCACTTCCGCAGTGCCCAAGTGGCATGGCCCAAAGCAGCCTGCAGGAACACTGTGGCACTGCATTAGTAGCATCTGTGCCCCTAGCAGGCGCCAGCCCAGCATGGCAGGGCCTGATGGCTCCTGGCCCTCTTCCCCCTGCCGCCCCTCCCCTGTCCGCAGGAAGAACTTTACCTGAGCTTTGCTGCTCACTGCAGGGCA